GTGTGTATTTGTACATTGTGAACATGAGAGCCGCACTGTCTCATCCTTGGATTTTATGTCACTTCCCATCAGCACCCATTATGTCTGACCCAAATGAAAAATTACATACCGGAAAGGTGAAGATGATCCTCAGGCTTACTTGTCAGTCATGACACTGGGGATTTTATATTCCAGGAGTGTTTCTTCATCCCACATGGTTTTATAATATCTATCGTAAATTTTCCTGTAACAGACTATTTATTTTCCAAGCCCTATCCTTATACTTCATAGGAGGTGTTTTGAATGGATCTTTATAGGATAACTCTTGATACCGTTCAATGCTGTGTAAAGCCATTGTGACTCATTTGCTTTCCACACAATACTGTAGCATCTAAAGGCCAACTGACCTGGTTACTTTCAATACATCTGGCATTTCTTGCTCCATATGTAGTAACAGTTTTTGTTGAAGAATTTGAGCATCACTTTATTTGTGTGAGAAATTAAGACAATGGTCCAGTAGTTGATAAAGTCTTTGACATCCTTTTTTCAGAACTGATATGTAAATTGAGTATTTCCCATCTGTGGGCCATTGTGTTGTTTTCCATATTTGTTTCTTGCTAAAATTTTGATGGACTCAGTTTCTGTGGCTTGAAATAGTTCTATTTTTTAATTTTAAAAAGTTTATTGAAAGTTTGGACAACGATACATTGAAACTTGCTGTCATGACCCCAGGGGTCTCCGCCTTCTGCTGCCACCACCCTGGACTTATGGTCCCTCGAGAAGGCCCAGGGTACCTTCCCAAGCCCCTTCAAATGCCCCTTTACAGCCAAGAAACACGGGCGTGATTGACCCAGGCAGAGAAAAAACTTTAAACAGAAAGGGTTTATTAAAACAACACTGGGGCATGGAAAACAAGGCAAGGCAAGGTGCTTAAAAAGGGTATAACAGTGTGAAAAGGAAAAATAAACATAAACTAACACAGCTACCTGTTCTTACTTCCAGGCCCACAGCCTGCCTAACACTCACTCTGTTTCCCCAGTGAGGGATCCTGTCCTCTCAGACCAGCCTTTTCCCCACAGTGACTCCGTGAGAGGGAAAACCGCAGAGAGCCAGCAAGAATCCTCTCCTCACCACACACAGAGTTTCTCACAGTCCCTTCAGCTGACATCTGCGAGAGGGGAGACCACCATTTTCCCCAGCTAACAGCTAAGACCGGCTCTCCTCACACAATTCAACAGTCTCCCCACAGAATCTCCCTCTCTGATTGGCTACAGCCCGTTGCTAAGCCTTATGGGGACTGTAGTAGGCTGTCTGCTCACTGCCATGCAGGTCTCTCCTGGAACCAGGCCGCACTAGGCCCTGCTCCCAGTCCTGCACAGATCATGACACTTGCAGAAGATTAAAATGTCATATACGGTCATTCAATGTTACAATATACCACAACGATATTAATAACTTTGCATGTTGGGTAAACATTCAAACATCAGAGAACAAGAGTGCATACCATATAAAATTATATTTATAGAAGGGAAACATTTCCTAGCAACGTAAACACAGCAATTAGAGACACAGAAACAAAGAGTGCTCACCGCCATTGTTCTCGGCATCACCACGCCCCTAAAATAGTTATATTGCTATCTCATCTGTTTCTCCCTATTGCTCTCAATGCAGCTTCACTTTCTAAAATTGCAGATTCTTCTTCAAGCATCTTCTTGGAAGGAATCTGACATCCTTTCATCTCTTCTGTATAGTTCTTCAGTGTATTGTTCCCATCTTTATTTTGCCCTGTTCAGTTAATGTATTTCCATGTTGATCTTTCAGCATGCACAACCATGCTTTAAATTCCCTTTTGATTTCTTGATTCTTGTGGAACAGATCTCTTATTCTTCCTTTGTTGTTGTTGCTGCTGTTGTTCTCTTCTGCTTCTTTACACTGGCTATTATAATAATTCTCTTTGTCTCTATGTGCCAGTTGCTGGAACTTCTGATTATATTTCTGTCATCGTTCATTTTGCTTCTCATCTATAGCAAGTTTTAAGAGTTTCATCAGTCATTCATCAAGGCTTTTCATTTCTTTTGACTACAAGAATAATCTTTGCACATTGTTCCTTAAGAATATCTCTGATTGCAGCCCATAGGTCTTTTTATTATTATTATTATTATTTCGTCTTTCATTTCCTTTAAGAATCCAGAAAAAGGGGGGAAACCTTAAAGGGAAAAAAGATGTAAAGACAAAAATATAACAGTGGTGGCAGATCTATACATAAGTTTCTATCAATGGTTTCCAAATATCTAAAAATAGGTCCA